CCTGCCTAGGCAGGTGGTTGGACTAGAAGACCTCCAAGGTCCCTTCCAACTCTGGTATTGTATTGTATTATTTGGGGTGGGGTGGTAGATTTCTCAATTTATGTTAGCGTTATTCTGTCAAAGACCTCCCTGGTCTAAAGGAAAAAAGAAATATGGGCATGTCATGAAGCTTTTCTGGAACTACCTGAATCATACTTTGCTCCGGCTTTAGCTTAGATAAGATCAGCAGAGCCATCAGCCATTGATGGGAAGATTCAGGTAGTTCTAGAAAGTCAATGGTTGGGAGCCAGATCCCCTTAATTACGGCGTGATTCATTTAACAACTGCAGTGATTCTCTTAACAATCTTGGCAAAGAAGATTGTAAAGCAAGGTGTGACTTACCCAATGTTAGCTACCTTGCTTACCAACAGAAATTCTGGTCCCAACTGTAGTCACAAGTCAAGGACTACCTATATCCAAAACCCAGCAAGGCTGCCTCTAGCAAAAGCTTTCCTGTCGGAAACCTGAAAGCCGGGTGTTAGAACTGGCGGTAGATGATCTCTGTCGTTTTCTGAGCAAAGTCCCAATTTCCTCTTCTAACCCACAGCGATACTCTGCAGCGTTATGGAGCAGGAGCTGGAGGTACCAGGAACATTTCCGGCACTAGCCGATTCCACGTGGCTCTGGAGGAGGAATTGGCCAGCTTGCACAACAAAGATGCCGCTCTTCTATTTACCTCCTGTTTTGTGGCCAATGACTCTACCCTCTTCACGCTTGCCCGCATGATGCCAGGTAACCAGGCAGTACAGGAGACCCAGGATCAGCCTGAAGTGAAGACCTCCGTCCTCCCTAAATTGTGGGAAGAGGAGAGAATGGGGAGTTACTCTTGGCTTGGTTTCTCTCCCGTAGGGTGTGAAATCTACTCCGATGCTGGGAATCATGCATCCATGATCCTGGGCATCCGAAACAGCGGCGTTCCAAAGTATGTGTTTCGGCATAATGATCCAGACCATTTGGAGGAGCTTCTTCGCAAGGCCAAACCCAGCACCCCAAAGATTGTTGCCTTTGAAACTGTGCATTCGATGGACGGTAATTGCCCCCCTTTAGGTTTCGCTACATGGTGTCCCTAATAACGTCATAAAACACCATCATGCATCAGAAAGGCGTTTCTAGGTGTAAGCTGACCAAAAGCGTTTCCTTCTTCCTGGGCCAGCCCAGATTCCTTGGCCAGTTGAAGAAGGGACAACTAACAGCATTTTCAGGGAAAAACGGCTAAGATTATAACAGGTCACTATGGAAATGACTAGATGAACAATAAACAACAATAAACAGGGACCCCAGTCAAAAGACTTGCAGGACAAGAGGTGAGCTAACAATTCTGGAAGCATAGGCACCCACTAGGCTAATACTGCAAAATGGACTGCACAAAGGGCAATCCGGGAGTTGCACACACAAAAAGAGGGTTGGAAGCTTTCGCTATTCAGGTAATCCAGTGTCTTCAATAATCCTTTGTCCGTAGGTGCCATCTGCCCCCTGGAAGAGATGTGCGATGTGGCCCACCGCTATGGGGCCATCACTTTTGTGGATGAGGTCCATGCTGTGGGACTCTATGGGGCCCAGGGAGCCGGCATTGGGGAACGTGACGGAGTGATGGGCAAAATAGACATCGTGTCTGGAACTCTGGGTGAGTTGGGAAAGCAAAGACCCGGAGAGGAACCAGAAAGAAAGGGGGTCATAAATACTCTAAGGCAGTGGCCCCCAATCTTTTGGGCACCAGGGACCGATTCCGTGGAGAAAGGTTTTTCCGCGAACCGGAGGGGGAGCGGTTTTGCATGCTGCCTGCATACTGTGGATGGGGCTTTGCTTGTTAGCGTGGTTGCTGACATGCCACGGACTGGTGCCAGTAGATGGACTGGGGGGGTTGGGGATTCCTGCTCTCAAGGAACCCTACTGACCATTAAAAAGCTGACCATCCCAAGAACCAAAGGGGGTGAGTTCTGCTGGTTGCTGCAAGATTTCAGCCTCTGATTTTTTTCTCCTTATCGTTCATAAGAAGGAAAAAATGTAAGACATACAGTATATTCAGCTTGCACACTGTATACAAGTTTCAGATCCAGCTTCCCAGAAGTCATGGTCCTATTTTTTAATTGCATTAGCTCAGTCATGCTTCTTAATGCTAAATACACTTAATAGCATAAGACACGCTTGTCATTAAAGATACATCTTTCTTTCCCTCCCTTTCTCCTCCAGGAAAGGCCTTCGGCTGCGTGGGTGGCTATGTTGCAAGCACCACGTCCCTCATTGACACGGTGCGCTCCTATGCAGCCGGATTCATTTTCACCACTTCGCTGCCCCCCATGGTGTTGGCTGGGGCGCTGGAATCTGTTCGGATCCTGAAGAGTCCCGAGGGGCAGGTGCTGCGCCGTGCCCACCAGCGCAACGTCAAGCACATGCGCCAGTTGCTCATGGATGCCGGGCTGCCTGTGGTCAGCTGCCCAAGTCACATCATACCCATACGGGTAGGGACGCCCCGGGATGGTGAACGGGAGAAGCTAGGGCTGATGTAGCAAAACAGACACAGGAGTACAGTCCTCAAGGCTTAAATTCTACTGACGCCACTTTGCCATGTCCTTAATATACACAGCCCTTTATAGAATACTTAAGAAAATGGAATGAATGAACAGGACTGAGTGGCTGCAGAATCGTGTCCATCACAGGAGGGGACGCCTGAACACCCTAAATTTTCTATGGCCAACTTTCCAGAGGGATGAAACAGCCGGATACCCTTCCTCAGTTGTCTGATTCATTCTTCTTCCTCAGGTTGGAGATGCAGCCGTGAACACCCAGCTTTGTGATCTGCTCCTCTCAGAGTACAACATCTATGTCCAGGCCATCAATTATCCTACTGTGCCCCGGGGGGAGGAACTGCTGCGGCTGGCCCCCTCGCCTCACCACACCCCACCCATGATGGACTACTTTGTGGGTGAGTCTCCAGTGCCGTGAGCACTAAGGATCCAGCTCTATCTTACCCAAATCATCTCATTCTATAAATCAAATGCTAGTAAAAGGCAGGATTAGAACTCTCAGAATCTCTGTGGAAACAAGGCACTTAAGTGAAAATCAAGTTATGATTCTATTCATTACACACCCAGTGCAGTGACCACTGAGGATGTCATAAACAGAACTGAACCCTAACCCCGGGACGTATTTTTACAAACTGAATCTGGTCTGCATAAACAATAGCTAGAATTAACTGCAATTCCATCATGTATTGTATATAATGAAAATTGATGCAAATTATTCCGATCTCCCACTTAGAATTTTAGCACCAGGCTTGTGACAAAGTATCACTTCACAGCAAACAAAATTCAAATTGGATTTGGATTAGATTTATTACATTTATATGCCGCCCTTTTCCCCGAAGGGGACTCAGGGCGGCTCACAATTCAAGTCAGGGAAGGAGGTACAGACAGGGGATAAAAAAGACGAACATAACAATACACAATTTAAAAGCACACAACAGCCATACCATTCGAGGAGGGGGGCAAAAGCTCTTTAGCCCCAGGCCTGTCGGAACAGCCAGGTTTTAAGGGCTTTGCGGAAGGCCTGGAGGGTGGTGCCTAATCATGCCTAATCCGCC